TTCTGATAGGATAGAGGGTTGTTGTTTTTTCCATCAACATTAAAGTTTGAATAGCAGGAGTGTTGTGCTCAGATTAAAAACTCCCTAGAGCACATCATAAAGCACCTCACCAGTTTCAACTCTCAAATTGCTCTGTTTTCATAGCAAGGAGAGGAGCAGGACAGATATTTTATTTAAGGAAAATAACACTGTACATAAAAACCTTATACAACGTAAGTATTAAATATGCAAGAGAACTGAGAATACTTTTTGCAGTCAAATCCACCTCTCCCCCGCCCCCCACAGCCAAGTAGTTTTACATTAACAGTTCTACCAGAATCCTTGTTGACTCAAGTAAGTGACTGGGATATGGAGTTTGGAATGTGAAAAGCTTTTAGGTTGCTATTTTAAGTGACTTGAGTTGTACTGAGTAGATCAATGCCTCGATACCTGTTTTAATCTTTTAAATACAGCCAGAAGTGTTGGCTCCAACTCTGTTTCCATAAGTACATTTACACTGTCTATGTAATGAAATAGTCTGTACAAGTACATTAGCACTTAAAAAACGTACATACTTAATTCGGGGAGGTCAAGAGGAATGGGTGGCAGATGGATGTGATGAGGCCATTCACCCACTAGTCCTTACAGCCCGAACTCTCTCATTTTCAATATTAAAGTCAACCCTGCACACATTTTGCTGAGTAACCACACTTGTTGCTATGTCTGTTGTCTGATCCTACTACTCCTTATTTGGGAGTTTGTTTTGATAGTGCAGCTTTTTATTGACATCCCACCAGTACATATCATACAAAATCTATCACCCCTTTGTTGTGTGATGTGTCACGTAGCATGTAAGCTCTTCAAAATGGGCACCAGGCCTTATTAGTGTTTGTATGGGGCCTAAAACATTTTTGGACATTTAATTAATACATCCCCACCCAAAAAATTGTTTTTAAGATACAACTCTTCTCCCACAATTCTTTGGACTATAGATCTGCCTTTCAACTCCATCACGTTGCTCTTGTACACCACTGCCTCAACTCCTTGTCTGCAGAAGTCTCCAGATGTCTCCTAACCCTACGGCCTAAAAAGTCTCTGCTCTCCCCATTCTACTACTTTAAGGCCTTGATCTACCAGGACAACCCTGCAGGCAGATGCTGGCACTCAAACAGAGCCCCACAAGTGTTTGCCTACACAGTTCTCCTTGCAGAATCCAAACCTAAAGTTTGCATAGCACAGTGAGAAGTTCTCTATGTGCCAACAATTAAGCATTACGTGCCAAATGCTGCAAAGTTCAGAACTCCAAAATTCAGGGCAGTTCAGAGCTGGGGCTCTGGTTTAGCACATTAAAACAGGGAAGGGTCAATGCTAAGTTCAGAACTAGACTTCACTATGTGCAGGAATTCAGCATTATTTGGAAGAAACTATATCAAACACCCATCATTAAAAAAAAAAAATTCTCCTTTTAGAAGTGTGGGTGGGTGGGTGTGTGTGGAGGGGGTCAGTAATCCACAGATATTTGAAATTTTGCTCCAATACTATAGTTTCTATTTTCCTGTCCCCACTGAGTACTGATTACTTTTATGAAACCAAACAACTATGCTACATAGATAGGGATATATTTCATCTACAGTATTTTATTTCACTGTTTCTATTAAAAATCATTATTGTTGTTCTGTGTTTTACTATAACACTGAAGAAATTTAAAAGAGAAATCCATCTTCCAGATTTACTTCTCCAGCTTAGCAGCCTGAATGACACAAGTGTCCATGCAATGGAAGTTTGTTTGCAAATCCTGCTATTAATGTGCATCAGCATATCATACACTGTTCTAGGAAACATGTGTTCTTTCCCATTTACTCACGGAAGGGTGGCTTTAGAGCTGAACAGCTGCTGTGAATGAGTAAGTATGTTGTGTACCAGTTAAAATGTTAACACTTAAAACGTACACACTTCCTGTTTTGTTTTTTTGGTATATTCAGAATTTGTAGCAACACTGTAGTCCCAACACCCTGGACAGAAATTCCTTCCCACAGACAGCAGGGATCCTCACCAAGCCAACCCACCCCTCCCCCAGATATCACCCAGTTTCTAATTTTCTTTGAATCCCTGATACCACAACCATACAACGCTTCTCTCAAAGCTCTACACAATTTCCACTCCCAGGCCATATCCAATCCCTCCCCCACCCCAAACCCACATATCCAATGCCCCCCACAGCTTGACCTCCTGGGCCACATACAATTCTCCTCCCTCTCTTCAGCAAGGTCCCACACATTTACCCCACTCCTCCTCTGGCAAACACCTATGCTCCTCCCAGCAGCCAACACACCAGCCCCTTAACTCCACCCTGCTCCTCTTGCTCCAGCTAAATCTGCAGCAGCTCTTACCTGAAGCCTTCACTGGGCATCATGCTATTTCTATAACTGCTCACCCTTCCAATAAGCCACCATGAATGCAGGTAGGAAGCTATAACATGACTCTAAGGGGCTTTTTACAACACAGGAAAGCCTCAGAGCCTTTAGCTTCCCTCAGAGCCAGCAGAGGGTGAGCTGGCGAATGCAGCAAGTCCCACTACTCCACCACAGGTGCTATTGAAGAGAGAGCCCTGTAGGGAGAAAAGCCCAGGTGCACTCGCTAGCCAAACTCAGCAACTCTGCTGGCAGCTGCTGCTCTGCTCCCTATGAACAGCAGGTCTGGCCCTTGCCTCTCTCTCCATGACCTCTGTGCAGGCACAGCTCAATCTGCTGCTCTCTGCCTCCCAAACACCAGCAGAGAAGGTATTTACACCCACACCCCTCCACCGAAGCCCCAGTTGCTATCAGGGGCAAAAGTGGCAGACAAGGTTTGTGCAACAACTCATTACCCTAATGAAGGATGAAGCCACTGCTGATGACAGCACCTTTGCTCATATTCAGGCTAAAAGAGACAGGGCTGGAGCATTCATTGATTACAGTTGTTTGTTTTGGGATTTGTGGAGCGGGGGTTGGGTTGTTAAAATGGTTTGTCTAAAAGAGGAAAAACACAGACACCATCTCCACATTGGGGCCCAGATTCTCAAAAGTACTGAGGCACTTAACTCCTATTGGTTTCAATGGAAATTAGGAGCCTAAATACCTTTAAGGACAAGGACCTGGGTCCCTGAAGCAAGAGCAACATTCCACCCTGTTAAAAGACAGTGTGATCTGGAAACTGTAACACAGCAAAGTTAGGTGCTGGCCATGTCCCACCTTGCATATTTTCACATTCTAGCACTTTCCAGTGGCAAGCAATAGTCTTTCCAACCATAACCTGTGTTACCATTGCTAATTTAGGACTAGCATAGATAGAATACAAATTTTCTCAGCTAGATGGACAATATGTTGAAGCACTTACAATAAAAGTATGACATTTGAATATAATTCTAATGAAGTTTGGATGGCTCTATTTAACATTTTATAGGGAAGCAAATCACATTGTATATTTTCTCCTCATATGCATGCAACTGCCCTGGAGGCTAAGAAAAATGATATATGCATCAAGGGGGAAAGGTAAGTGCACTATCCTTATAAAAAAGAAAATGAAAACAGTTGCTTTCACTATGCTTGCCATATGAGGTTCGAGTTGTGCAAGTCTTAATGGAATGGGGCAACCAAAATTTTGGCTTAAATGACCTACTTTACATATAAAGTAAATCTGATGATGTGCTTATTACACCTGCTTACCATCTATGAAGTGCATCCATTAAGGTTCAACTTTACTCACCTCATACTTTATGATTAGTCCCACTTGATTTCCAATGAAAGTGCTTGTGGAGTAAGGTACTGATCACAAGGGAGATAGAATCACGCATTATAAGAAGGCTACAAGTACAGACAAATGATTTTTTTTAAATAATAATTGGACAGGAAATGGAGAGCACTCATCTAGCACAATGACTTTAAAAAGCTGAGAGGGGAACTGTCTTTTTTTTTAAACTAAAAAAAGTAAAGTGGGAGGGAGACATTTCAAAACTTGATAAGCTGCACTGCAAGTGTTGTAGAAGGTCTTAGGTCCTAGTACCAAAACAATTTTGGCTTTTATCTTAACTGGAAAGTTATTTAAAAATGTTAGTAATGATATCTGAACAGAAAGCAAAACTGAAGATGTACTAAAGAAAAAATTGCTATGAAAACCAACAATAGTGCAGCCTTACTCTAACTGTAAGAGAGTGTAAATACATGACTTTTTTAGTTTTTGGTTTGGATTTTTCTATTGCATTGTCATCAGAAAGACAAATGGATGAAGGAAATATAAGGGCTTTGTTATTTTTCCACAAGATTATTTCAAACTACCTGCGAGTACTAAAGTATCGGCACAAACTGAAGCTACTATCTTCAATTTCATTCCATAAGCAGAAATTTAAAACCTAGCATCCCGTAGTTTTGACATTACCAGTGTACTTTATAAGCTGTAATCGTGTGGACATTGCACTCTATGCTTGTGCTGCAAATTTGACTTTTTTGCTTCTATATCCTGTAGAATTATGGCTAATCTGCACACTTTATAGTTCACAATATTGGCACTCTCCCCCTAGTTTAGTGGGGATTTAAAAGCGAATGTCAAAGAAAAGCCTCATTGCTCAGACTTATTTTTCAAGTTTTTGTATAGTGACATATTAGTTACCAAAATAAGAGTACATTTTATGATGTATTGACTTTATTGCAGTTGTTTGCTTGAAGATCTGCAAGTTTCCAATAATCCCCAATGAGTATCATTGTTAAGAAATAAGATTCCATTATAGTTCCTGATAGTTAGTGTAACAGCAGTGTGTCCTGAAAAGACAATTTAATCATTCTAACCAAGTTTTCAATAAATTCTGCATAAGTTATAGTCAATGATCAGCATAATATAAAGTGCATAAATTCCACTTAGTTAAGGACAAAATGTCATGGACTGAAAAATATTAATTCATACTGTGAATAGAGCACCATGCAAAAAAAATACCTCAGCCATTTTGGTGCACCACAGCTAAGTCATTCCCATGTGCACAGCCTAGAAAATTCTTTCTATATTTTTATTCAAGTGTTTTCATTAGCTAAAAAAGCATTCACAACAAATATTAAAATAACGGTTCCTTTTTAAACAAACTCTGAGAATTGTGAATCAATGTATTCCTTGAAAGCAAGAATATTTATTTTTTCCAGTCTAATGTATGGCCTTGCAATCTGCAACTCAATATTTATTTTATCCTTTGGATCCCGGCTTTAGGCCTGCAAAAGCTTTGGAGTTCTTGAGGGAATGTGAGATTTCATTGAGAAAAGAGATGAAATGTGAGTCCCTCTCTGATTTCTTAGCCTCAAAAATAACTACAATGGTAAAATGAGGTTCAGGGCGTGTCAGAAAGTATGTGCTTTGGACTTTGTCATCATAGAAGTGAACAACCTTGTCCAAACTGTTGAGGTCAGCGGTTCTGTCAGTCATAATCATGATTACATTGGGCCAGTGCATTACAGGCCTGTCACTGGGCAGAGAGACCACAGCTGGGTATTGATCCACCCCCTTTGGGGCTTCCCTGTAAGAGTGAGGATGATGGTAGCCATGTCCCTGGAAGCTCTCTGACCCACGGTTGTCAAAGATAAGAGAAACATTAACCGCGTCATATTTCCTGATGAAGCTGGAAATTTTCCCAAAATAATCAGGGTTAGTTTTAGCAGTCAACGTTTTCATTTCGGATGCAGTTGTTTGTCGACTGAGGGCCTCATGAAAGTAAAAGCTAAACTTGGCAAGGAGAATGTTTTTGAGTTTCAGCAACCAGAGGAAAAGGTGTGGTGGTTGTACGGCCTTCTGAGACTGCCCTCCAAACAGATGTTTCTTGGTCTCTCGCTGTTTCTCAAAAATTTGCCCCCACGTCTGCAGCTTTGTATGAGCACTGTGCAAGTTGACTAGGGATGGGAGAAACTTCCACTCTGAGATCTGAGCCTGAGCCTTTAAAAGATGTGCAAGCACATCCACTTCCAGCTGGAAGCTGCTTTCAAGAGGACTGAGGATTGGATGGTGAAATCTAGAAAACAAAACATTTTTAAAAGTGTGATGGATGTTGCACATGATAGCAAAAGTTTTATATTCACTAGTACACCAACTTGCAGGAAAACATCACTGAAAGTCAAACAGAAAGTGTAGGCAGAAGAATTCTATGTTGATTAGTTTAAAAAGCATGACTTTTAACATTGTTTTTGCATAAATATTTTAAATTAAAAATCTAGCATCTCTTCATGCCTGATAAAAACAAATGATACAAATGTGTGTGTATCAACTGAAAGAATTTGATAAGTTCCAACACCAATGCCACTTCCCTTTCCAACCACTAAGATGCTGAACTTTAAAAAAAAAACAAAAACTGCTAATTATTTTAATATTCCATAACTACTGGCAATAAGACACTTTTTGATGGTTATGGTCTAGTTACCCAGACATCTCTGTCAAAGCAATTAACACACCCAAAATTGCACGATCGTTGTCCAACTAGGCTTCCTCACAGTCACTTGTTTCCTCACAATGAAATAGGAACAGCAGAGGCTGAATAGGGGGAATTGGTAAATAAAACCATAATTGACTGCATCTGCTGCCAAACCTGCTCTCAAACTTTAAATCACAGCAGCTGAGGGGCAAGGTCTGATGGAGGTCTGACCAACATCACACTGGAGCTGCTATCATGGATGAATCCATCAGACACCAGAAATTTTAGGACAAGATCATCCCTTCACTTATACAACAGAAGTTGAAGAAAAAAAAAATAAAGCTCTTAATCTGAGTGCCATTACACGTTTTATGCACAAGAGGGGTCCTGCCATGTCAGAGCAGGCCTGGGTGAGATAGGACACAGGAAATTAGAGAATGAACCTCTCACTTTTCTTAAATTAACTTGAATTTTTAATATGCCTCTTATTTAGAGGAAGCAGAGCAACTCCATGCTCTTGCATGTGTGACATGTACAGAAACTCAATTTCCAGTCAAGTAACAAACATGTATGTTTGGAACTTACTTTAGCTAGAGGTGGAAACTCATTATAGAATATCCCTTCAAAAACATAGCTGTATGCGCAAAATCGGTGACTGGTCCTACAGGCACTGCAAAAGAATTCCAACCACCACGGATTTGCTCCTAAGCGGATATCTTCCCCAATCCCAGCATTTAAATCGTCATTTTGAATAGGTGCAATGTTTACATGCAATTTTCCTATTCAAAAGTAAATATCAAAATTACCACAGGAAGTTTCTCATCAGGAGCCTATCCAAGATGGTATGCATTAGTTGTTCTGGTGGAATTTCCCAGACCATCATGACCACTGATGGTACTGTAAGAGTCCTAAGGCAGCAAGTGAAACTAGCAGAGTACAACTATTGTATCTTCACTGATACAGTAATGTGATCTTGGTTTTGAGTCAAGATGGAAATTGCATACAAGATCTAATATACTGTACCATATCACATAAAATGTGTTGTGCTGTCACACAGAAATTGCTTTACTGAATCAGACCAGTGGCCTCACTGGTGTAATATTCTCTCTCTGATGGTGGCCAGTACCAGATACTTCAAAGGAAGTTGCAAGAAACCCCTAATGGGAAATTATTGAAAAAAATACCCACATGGAAAGTTTTTTCCTAACCCCTCAAAATGAGTGGCTAGTTTATGTCCTGAAGCATAGGGGTTTATATTCTTTCTAAAATAAAAAATAAATTTAGATCTAATGAAAGAGAGAGAGAAAACTCATTTCTCTCTCCCTGTTATAATAAATAACAGAAGGGGGAAATGGGTGTCCCCCCGCCTTGTTTGCTCCTGTTTGATACATAAAAGTCTGTGTGGTTTGGGTTCTTATTTTCTTTCTGACAGAATTAATTCAGAACTTGTCTATCCTGTTTTTCCTGAAGGAGTCAGCATGTTATACCTTGTTCAAGTAAGGTCTGAGAATGCTCCCAATCAGTTTTTATGGGCCACTAAGCAAAAACAGGAAAGACAAGATGTAATATTCCTTATATTTTTAAGGGAAAAGTAATTAAAAGGTAGATTTAAGCTGGCCAGGACTCATTTAAGTCATCTTAATACAGCAAAAAAGCACATTTCCACCCACCCCAAGTTTTTGGCAGGTATCTTTAAGGGAAACAGGAACCAGTATAACTCATCTCTCTAGTGCATATTAACATTGACAGTCTGAGACAAAAACCTGAGAACGGTGTTTGACAGATTATAGAACAGTGTTAAAGTAGCCATCAGCAGTTGGTTGTGTGGCATTAATACATCCTTTCTAGCGTTGGGGGGGGGGGAGGGGGAGGGAGGGC